AAATTGAGGAAGCAAAAAGGGAAGTTTCCACAAAAACATACTTTCAAGATTATACTTAAAAACTGCACATTCTACATTTAAATACASCTTTTCTTGCATCCCACCTCTAGGATATGCTTCCAAGGATATTGCATGAATTAGTGGTTAGTAAAGCCAATGTTTAATTGATCAATTCTCATTTGTGAATTGGCTGGAGGTGGGTGAATTTGTCTACCAGTGTTTGCATCACAGAAAACTTCATTTGTGAAAGAAATGGTGAAATAAATCCTTATGCTGAARGCAAAGATTATTCTTCCCCTTGTCCTCTTGCAGTTGTAGCAGTGCCTAGGAAAGTGTCATCATCTACTGTAGCAGTATGAAAATGTGGGGTCACACAGAAACCAAAAGTTTCAGATGCTCCAAACCAGATCTTCACATCTTTCACATCTTGTCAGTCCCCATATGCGCAGGCTCCCTTGCCTTGAAATAAAAAATTGCTCTAATGAAAGGTGGGTTTGYGTCTGAAGAAGGGAGACAAATCTGTGCAAATGTGCTGCTGAAGATATGTTTTGCTTCTGAACAACTTGCATTTCTGAAGGATATGCTCCTTCCAACACACCAGATTAAATTCTGCTGTTGGTTATTGTGAGGCAATGTCATGATAAAAGAACAGATGTCTCCAAAGCAACAAGGTGTCATTGCTCTGCTAGTGAAAATCTGAGATTTAAGAGGTGGCATAAAATACTAGGAAAGGATGATTTTAGTCAGAGCTTCCATCCCTGACATCATGACATAAGAATTTGAATACAGAATGCAGTACAATAAATTATTAATGGTTCCTTAAATTTCTCAAACACACATTACATGTCTGGCATCTTATTTGGGAAAGGAGGAGAAAGGAGAAGAAAAAGAAGTAACAGTATGTACTGGTTTAAGAATCTATCGCTTTGGGGGAAGCTTTTAGAGAATCCTGCCTGAACAGGCAATAAAAGTAAAGAGAGACACTGCTAGTGCCAGAAGGGGTAGAGCTAATGGGATCCAATCACTTGTTAAAAATGGGGCAAAAAAAMCCCAAGAATAATCCAGTATTTTTTAGCTCTACTGGCACCAGGAGAGAAAACTGTCCCATACACCAGCCTCACAGTGCTGCAGGTTTGCACATTACCCCAAAGCGATTTTTTTTCTTTCTCTTAGGAAGCAAGTGGCTATACCACAGAAAACGGTAATAGCTGCTGGTGGGGAGTACTTGTCAGAAAGTGAAGAAACACARTCTTTGGGTACATAATAATGAATGGTGACACTCAACTTTCCTGGCATATTTGGAATGAAATTTAGTGGAAATATCACCATGGAGTTAAATGTGTTGTGTGTGTAGTTCTTGGGTGAAAAGATGAAAAAGTTATTTGGTTAGCAATGTCACACATTTTTCACTGCTGTGAAAAATTAACAGAACTGGCTTTTGAAGCAAGAGACATAAGAACAATACGCAATTTTAGAGGTCAGAAGGCTTAGGAGTATTCTGTGTCTGCACAAATTTATAGTCACACAGTGCTCTTTAAACTGTGGGAACAAAGCACCTGAAAGTTACTGGAAGAAACAGCTAAAAGGTTGTTGCRTTCATCATAGAAATAACACAATAATGGAGACATACTGCAGTGATAATGTTTTGTTATATGATCTAGAGCCAGTCCAGTGTATTATGTGCATGTTTCCCTTGTTTATTTATCTGTAAAGCCAAATGGTTAGCCTTGGTTTATTCTTCCTCTGCACTGTTGATGCTGAATATTACTTCAATGACAAACTGCTGTGTACATGGGTACAAGCAAACAGGTTATTTTAGAGTTGTTATGGTTGTTCCAATTTCTGTTTAAAGAAGGCAGTAAAATTTTATAACTGAGCCTGAATGGAAACATTAACTCTGGACTGAAAATAGAAAAGCTGTTTGGGGAACAGGAGGCATGAGAGAAAGGAAGCATTTAAATCATCCTCAAGATATGATTTAAGGCCCTGACTAATTTGTCAGGAACTCAGACTCTGGTTGCAGCATAATTGGTGTTGTCTTTCTTGTTCAAGTCATGCCAGGCCAATGTTCTGTTTTCAGCAAGGAAAATGAAACTCGCAGGTCGCAACCCATGGGAGAGGTTTGGTGATACTGTCTTCATGCTGGCTACTGCACAGAAGCTAAATTAAGGTAATATGCTGCAAAATTTCTTTCCCACTTGTGAAATGAAGATTGAAACTGTGTTCAAATTTCTAACAGACAATGCTGAGTTTTGCCTAAAAACATTTTCTGCAGTGTTTTCTCATGTTTTGTTTCTTATGAGGTATATATGTCATCTGGAATATGAAAAAATGGATACTCACATAAGCTAAAGATAACCTATAGRCCAGCAGAAGCATACTTACTATCATGAGGGAAGTTACCACCCATAACAGATGCAAGTTTAGTGCAATAACTGCAACCTGTTGTATGAAAAAAATTTTAATGTATCTTTAGTTTTTTCTTCTACTCATTTGTTATTTTTGCCTTTGGTTAGATCTTTCTTGTGGGCTGGGGACACTACATGTGTTTTCACTGGCAACTACAGCCCTAACGCTCTTCACCAGATGTGTCTGAACAGCTGCCTTGTCCTTGGAGAAAACATGGTGCATCAGCTTGAGCTGTGAGAAAGACCTGAGAGCCCAGCATGTCTTTCTGCATGTGGCTGGTGCTGGCAACACTGTCAATGGCACATCTGGCAGTGCTTGGCCCTGCTGCACCCTGAGACCCCGCTGCGTTCTCTGGGGTGAGAAGGAGGGGAAGCCCAGAGACCTGGGAGATTCAGAGGATGCTCCTGTGGCAGTGTGCATTAAGGGCATGAGGTAGGGATGAGGGAGGAGAAGGGACTTGCACAGTACCAGACTGCAAGCGTGGGGAACATTGAGTGCCCTTTATATTAATGTGTGATTTTCTGCCTTTTTTGTTTTGKTTTGGTTTTTGTTTTGTTTTCCTACACAAGCAGTGAGGAATTGAATGGGGTATGGACGTGCAGAGCTGCAGCTGTTGCAGGGCTCCAGAACTGCTGTTTAGCTATTCAAATGTGAATGGCTATTCAATCACATGAACAAACAACCTTATTAAGCAAAGTTGACCATCTTTGCTGGTGCACTGGAGATTTGCCTGAGCACCTCTGAGAGAAAGAGCATGGGCAGTATGCTCAGGCAAGGTCACAGCTTCTCAGCCATGCTGCTGTTCTGTGGATCAAACTTGTGATAGGGCTTGTAGCAGGCTCACCAGATTTTGGAAAAAGGCTGTTATTAATACCTGAAGCAGGGCATGTGTGTGGAAGCACATCCACAGCACACATTTCATAGCTCATATTGTGTATACAACTGCTTGTAGAGGAGTGCTTGGCTCTAACGCACATTCTTGCCACTGTCCAAATTCTGGAATATAAATAAGTTTAGTTCCTGGTCTTAAAAAAAAAAAAACAGAATATAAAAGAAAAAAAAAGAAAAAGGAGTGGWGAAATAATCTGAAAATTTGTCAGAGCAGAACAAACATTCGTCTCCTAAACACTGTCCTGCAGGAGTCAATTCAATTGGAAGGAACTGTAGGTCCGAAGGCAGTGAAGACATATTTTTCAAATGCCCAMGTTTAGCAGATGATAATGATAGCCTTTGGTCTAACAGCTAATTCCTCATGGGTCCCTCAYGTTCTTTTTCACAACTGAAGTAGCAGTTTTTCTGTGCCAGAGCAGATCTGGCTCTATTAAAGTTGGTAGCAACTGATGCACTGCCGGTGAATCTTACAAGTTGAAAATCAAAACCACAATTAGCCAAAATAATAGCTTTAATTTCTTTTATTTTTCTTGAGAAGCTTGAACTGATGGGTTGGAAGGCTTTCTTTGCATGGCTAGTGTTGTGTTTTAAAAGGTTATGTTCTTATAGGCTAAGAGGTCATTTTAAAATTCTATTTTGACTAAGATCTAAGTTATACTTTCTCAAATATTGCTTTCATTTTGGATTGCTGCAGCCATTTGTTTTGGGTTTTTTTTTTTTTCCTAATTCTGTCTTATGTACAATTTTGAGGTATTTCAGCTAGGTTTTGTGCTTTGTGACTTCTTTTCTGATTTTTTTTTTTTTTTTTTTCCTAATTCTGTCTTATGTACAATTTTGAGGTATTTCAGCTAGGTTTTGTGCTTTGTGACTTCTTTTCTGATTAACTGAACTATGCTTTCAGRTTTATATTCTCCAAACATTATTTTCACTGTTAAATGATAACAATGATCAAAGGTTGTTTCAGGCAGGCAATACTATTTCCAAGCAAAGCTACCTTAACTTCAAAAATAATACAATAAAGGCCTACTCAAGCTCTGCAGCAATCTCAACATAACAAACAATTTGGGTTAGTTTTAATTTTACAGTTGTGTGCCTTATCATTTGATCATGCACGCTCAAACGTTAAGATATATTTTTATCTACAGGAGTGAATATGGTTTGCACCGTATGAAGAATCGGTTGTGGTGGTGAAGAAGCAGTTATAAACCAAGGCAGTTTAAAGAAAACATACACTCAGGCATATAGATAATATTTAAATAATTTATGTAAATTTAAAAATGTCTCCTTTGTATTCCCTATCAAAAGTTGGTCACATTTCTTCAAGTAACTCCAAATTTTAATTTTCCATTGTCTTAAAGAGCTGCTGGAGAAACTTCAGAAAGAAGGGAGTGTTTGCCTAAGCTGTGATTGATTGATTAACAGGTGAGAACCATAATAAAGAACTCCTTAATAGTTTTAAYATACTCAGAAGAGCTGAAAGAAAGAAGCATTAGGCTTTGTTATCCATGGCTATAGCTATTAATGGTAGTGCTGCTGCTMTGTGGAAAATCCTTGGGTGTGTTGTTGTTGACTAAATGGAGCATGCATTGACTCACACAGTGGCACTGTGAAACCAGGAAATAAAGGAGACAAAAGCAGCACTGGTTCTACCTGCACTTCTGCCAGCACAGACACACAGCTGATTGAAACACCCAACATACCGTAGGCCATAAAGGACTGTCCCATCTGGATGGAGTCGAATCATTCGGTTTTTCACTGTCACCCCATGGACAAAGGATTTCTTGTCATTTTGGAAATACGTGTCTGGCACCCAGAGCTGGTCAACCACTCTGTTGTCCAGAGTTAGGTTCAAAGGTATTCCAGAATAAGAGAGCCTCTTATCCCTCCAGGACTGCTGAAAGTACATGGTCAGGGTGTAGTCCTAGGGAAGAAACAAGAAGGGCTTTTTGTATTTTCATACTGATTAGCAGACCAGAAGTTTATTTTCAGATGAGTCTCAGTAGCTGAGGATCAGTAGCAATAGGAAATTAAAGGATCGTTAAGGTGTTGTTGCCATTAGCCATGATCATGAGACTTGGCTTGTTCACATCAGTGTCAAACTTGACACTACTCATCAGTGGCGACAACTGCAACAGACTTTCAAAATCTCTTGACCCTGAGAGAATACACAGCACATCTGGGTCTCCAGTCTGTGGATCAAACTTGGTTTCTGATTTTTTTTTAATGTGAAAAGAGTGGGGTTTAGCTGACCTCAGCCAATTAGCACTGCATAGCACTGAGGATATTCTTCTGATATTCCCTCCCTTCATCCCGAAAGATTCCCCCCACAATCCAAAAGGCCTAGCTCTCCTCAGAAAGTGCAAATACAACCTTGCAAAATAATGGATAACTTCCCATTCCGCATCTGCCAGATGTAATGACTTTAGATAGCCAGGCACATCTCATCTCAGCCTGGGAAATGTGGTGCTTTCTGTCCTTGCCAATTGGATTTTATTCTATCAACACATTTTCTAGGCTATCATGTTATAACTTCGGTGAAGTACCATTTCTGCAGCCTTTCAGCTTTCACTTTGTCTGAAAAGAAATTGTTTCAAAGGCTTGTGATTTGATTTACTCCCTTGTATGTCTTTCTGGGAACTTGGTGATTTTAAAGATAGTCAATTTTTTCATGTGGAAAAGCCCATGTACTTTGTGGCTTATGGAGTTCTTAAAAGATGATTAGAACAGCAGTATGTGGACCATTAGTTTTGCTCATCTCCTCCCCCAGCCTGTTTTCAAGTGACAGGTCACTTTGTCACACATTTTTTATGGTAGAAGTGCATCAAAATCATAGCTATTATTGAAAAAAATTGGTCAGGAGTAAGATTTTCTTTTATGTGACTCAAAACCTTACCTCTGTCATTGTCACAAATCCTAGCCTGGACTCTGATTTTTGAAGAAACAGCATAAAAGCTGTCTGATACAATCTGTGCTCTTCATCTTTTCTTAAGATTGTATCATTGCCATGAAATCAAAGCAGAGTTGTTACCTTTCAAAAAGGCATTTTACCTGAAATGTTGCATCCAACAGAGCTATAAACCACAGACTTATCAGTGAAAGTTGTTAATAAAAATACTGTCCTTCCTTGCCCTGGGCCTGTAGGTTGCTTTTTTTTTTGGATGAAATACCAAATCGTCAGTCAGGGTACAATAGGACAATTACATCCATTGTGAGCACAGACTCCAGATTTGCATGGATTTTTCGAAGATATGCCTGTTTTCAGGCCTGTATGATGATTGCTACCCACAACAGAGACAAGTGGCTGTATGCTGAAGGTTTGTTAATTTTTTTGTTGGCCTGGGTCCCTAGGAGGAGGTCAGGATATCTTCTTTGCTTTTCAGACTGTGCTGGTCAAGCTGGAACTACAAAGTAATGCAGTGATATATATGCTGTGCTTTGCTGAGTAGGTGATTTAATTTAAATAGTAGTACAGAGGAACATGAACCCCAAGGAAGGAAGTTTTTGAATGTACAACTTGAATAGGGGTGGATTAGAAGAATCACTTAAAGAGAAGCTTGCCTTCAGTTCCTCTTACACCTATACAAACACCAGTTGGGAATTGGATGAGAGAAAGTGAAAATTAAAAAACAAAACAAAAAGCAACCAAACAAGAAAAAACAAAACAAAATCCCCCCACCCAACACCACAAATATCCCTAAAGCCCCCACCACTGTTCTGGTGCAGTTTTTGTACGTTGTATCTGTTTCCTAAACTGTTCTATTTCAAGCCTCGTTAGGTAGAAAAACTTCCATGAATGACTGATAAAATTTGAATCCTCAGCGCTTTACCCGGTATCCTCTACATCTTCTGCCTGATCCAGCAAAGCCTATGCAGTCTGCATAGATGTAACTGAAATTCCAATTCTACATAATTATCTTTTTCCTTCTTGTGTTTTTTTATATTTTCACTGGGTCTTAAGGCTGCTTTTGTGGAATTGTTAATGCTGTCCTACAAAAAAGCAAACAATTGATAGTGGGGCCTATGTGATGGCTCTCAAAGCTCAACCAAGAGAAAAATAGGCACAGTAAGTGACAAGAGATCTTAAAGGATGTGATCAAATGAAAGCAAAAGAAATTCTGTCTCTTAGCTATAACTGCAAAAGAATTTGAGTTGCTATCTTTAGTATCATAGTCTGTGTTTCATCCCGCTATGATTTATACAAAATGCTGTTGTTGGCAACACCACAGTAGAGAGAGTGATCCCCTGGTCTGCAGATGTGCTATGCTATGGAGAAGTATGTGGCAAGCCAGCAAGTGTTAATGAGGAAGGAAAAAAATCTTCATCCTAAAGGAATCTCAGTGTTTTTTAACTGAGCAAATTATCTATTTTTTCCCATTCCTCAGTATGCGGGGGTATTACTCATTCAGTATTTTAATGGGAAAAATAGTCTAATGTCATGATTGTGACAGTCCCTGTTGCAGTAAGTTTGTATTTTAAAAAGCATAGTTGAAGATTGTTTTAATGAAAAGCAAATTACACCTGCACTATAATAACCCAAATTTTATAAACTTCCTAATTGTTCTTTAATGTAATACAACCTTACATTTCTAATCTCTCATCAATGCTAGCAAGCCAGGGCTAGCCACATCTTGGAGGTTTTTGCATTAATTTTTATATTGTACAGTGGTGTGAGTGAAGTGGGGATTTAAAGACTACTTGTCTCTACCCTGTAAAATTTGCAGGGGATTTTTGTGCTTTCAAACTCTAGAGTATATGAATAATTTCTGAATCTGTCACATCTGTAGTGGTAATTGGTTGCAGAATTTTCTTAGCTTTTTAAGAAAGCTTCCCAAGATCTCAAGCATCAGTCAAGATATAAAAATAAATCACTGCATTTAACTTTCATACTTAAGAATTTCTATTCATGAGTTAAAAAAACAGATCCCAATGTAAAGTTAAAAAAGAGAACGTGTCTCTGCAGCTAACTGTTCTTTCAAATTATTTGTTTTTAAAAAGAATTCACTTTTTATAGAAACACACCAAACATTTTTATTGCTGAACTGTACTTTCCATAATTAAAAAAAAATCTGTAATTCTGCAGAAAAATCATGATATTTCAGTGGATTTAATAGTGCTGTTCACGTTTTCTGAAAGTGCCTCCTTACTTTTTTAGGGTGGAGTGAACCTTTAGAACAGTAAATATTTGAGCACCAACGATAAAGCTGTTTTGATATGTATCTGGTCTAGTTTCCATTTTTTTATGTGACAAAATTTGATTGATTAGAATGAGGGTTTTTTTCCTTTCTTTGTAATTGTGCAAGTCTCTTATATCTTTGCATCAAACCATTTGTAAACGTGTGCATGTAGATGTGTACTATAACTTATAAGTAAATCTGTATCAGTGTTTTATTAAGGTACATTAGATTGCTAAGACAAATAGCTACATACTAGTTCTAGATAAGAGAGGTTCTGTGAAAATGTGAGTAAGAGAAATTAGTTTATTTTACTCAAAATTGCAACTTATTTTATAATCTGAATTTAAGCAGTCTCATAAATAAATATTGACACCAAGTCTCTCAGTTCATTTGAGGAATATAAATTTCTTGCAGTAAAGAAAATGAATGGATCATTGAAGCATATTGTACTTGAGGTTAGACAATCAATTTGTAGATACAGGAAGGAACAGACTGAAGCGTCTATACAATAATAATTAATTTTTTATTTCTATGTTTTTTTGTTCCCTAGTATTTGTTTGATGCAATATGTATAGATGATGTAAGGGCAAGAATGGATTTTTTCTTTCCTGTTAAACCTCTCTGAAACCAGAAGAGATACATTACAATAGCTAAGAATTTAGACTTGCGTGAGTAGAAATTACTCTGTGATTTACCAGTTAGCACAGTAGACTACAATGTGGAATATATTGCTATATTATAATCTAACCTCCTGGAATACGAAGAWCTAGTACTTCACCACATTTATCAGTTGAATTATGGATGCTGGTGGAATAAAAGATGAGTTCACATCTGCTATATTGGAAGTTGTTTTGTCTTTTTCAAATTTCATATTTTAAGGAGAAAATGAGGAATCTTTTTAACTTGAAATGTTCAGTTTCATGGTGAAAAACACCTTTGGTTTTTCTTTTTTTCCAAGGTGGCCTTAATGTAAGTTCTGTTATTATTTCATGTACTGAAAAGCAGGTAAGCATACTGTGATATATTTAAGTAATAACTGAATATCAAAGCACCCTCTGAAAATCTTAACAGCTAAAAATGAACAATATGGATGCAGTTATTAGCAAAAGAAATAATATTATGTGAAAATTTAGCTATTCTAGGTTAGCATCATATTTTAGCTCTCTACATGAGTTTACACATGAAGGCACTGCACAGCAAGATGATTACATAGAGTGCACCAATGTCATATTTCTAACAGACAGCAGCATGTATTGGTAGTTGTGGGATGCACACTGTGCACCCAAACAATCTCAAATTTAAATTTTATCCTTGGGAACCATCCACTAATCAAATATCTGGCAGCCTCACAGAAAATGAGATGCTATGTAATTCAGATACATTATAACTTAATCAAGACAAACATAAGTGAAATCACAATTTAAAATTAAATTTGGAATGATGATCAGAATATTAATATTGACTGAAATAACACCATAAATGTAGGAAAGCAATATATGTAAATCCTGTTGTCACTGCAAGCTCTTATTAATTGGGAAAGAGTATTTTCCATGTTTATCTGATATAAGAATAGGAAGGGCAGAGTTTTGACCGAATGGTGAATGCTAAATTTGCAAAAAAATCATACTCATTCCAGTGTTGCAAGCATGTTAATGTATTGGAAGCAGCTACTAGCATCYGCTCAGCAGCAGTTAGCTGTTCTACCTTGGGATTCCAAGGGAAAATCTGTATCCTTACCTGCAAATGA